GGAGTTCTAGAAAATCCTGCAAGTTAACATTTAGCTGCATCAGGGTCCTGTATTCAATGAGATACAGAGAGTATCCAAGAAGATATTTAGTATTCCCCTCCTCCTCTCTAAGCACAATTTAAACCTTGGGTAGTAGAAGAGAAGCTGTTACATGGATTCAGGCCACACCATACAGAGCTTTCTTTCCCAACAGCAACACAGATATACTACAACTTAATCCCATTTGTCACATTAGGTAAACAGGCAGTTGTTCACGTGGAGAAAATTCAGTAGCAGGACCCTCAGTATCTGAACTTAAGTCTTCTATGTATTCAATAACCTGGGAAGAGGGTGAATAATGATTTAGCAGGTTTTTAGATTTCACAGGTTAGCTGAGGTTACAAGAAAGATGTGGGGACTTCAAACGAGAATAAATGTTGCTGGACGAGCACATAATGTAGCAGCCTATGGTTTTCTCTGATGGAAAAAGATAAAAAAGTAAAACATCCTGTTGGATATAAATTTCATTGCACACATCCCAGGCATGAGGTGTCGCTGGAGAGAAAAAAAATCCCATCTCTGAGTTTATGATGTAGATAGTACAAGCAGGGTGAGAGTTTCCATTCACTTACACCCTAGCAGAATAATAAAATGTAGTGGTTGCTTAGCACAAGCAGAAACATCAGGCATTTAAAACTAACATGCATTAACAATAATTTCTGAAGGTAATGCAACGGCCATCTGGAACTTGGTGCAGTCAAGATGCATCCCAGCCCATGCCTTGACATGAGCTTTAAAATCCCTGACCATTTCTAGACATCTGAATGTCATATCAAAGGCTAAACTGCCCTGCTTCCCCCCTCTGCAGGGAAATCAACATCCAAGTCTGCCCAAGTGCTCAGCACATCTCTGTCACCACATGATAATGAAGGTAATTATCAATAATAACAATAATGTGGATGTAAAGCTTCTCTGGCAGCTGGGGCTGCATCCAACACCAGCCTCCCTGGAAGCTGGGTCAGCGTTACAGCACTGCCTGAAACCAAAGGAAGGGAGAAGCCTCCACTTGGAGTCACAGATGGGTCTATTGGTCGCTTGTTGGCTACACTCTGGCAACTTGTTGGCAGCTATGAACCTTTTGCATTACAACCAAGAAGGTTTAATATCTTCTGTAATGTCCACTCAGAGCAGCTGATGAGATTCTCTTGTGTTCCTTCACCGGTCCTGGCAGATAAAGAGCAGCCCTCTCTTTCCTGCCCATAAACACTAAACATGATGTAAACCCACCACTGCTTGTCCCCAAAGTGCTCAGGCTTGAGCAGAGAAACTCCATCTGTTGTCAGAAGCTCCATTATGTGTAAGATACCTGATGCCCTATCACACCAGTATTTTTAATTAATCAGATGTTTCTCCACTGAGATTAAACTCTATGTACATTTCCCATTTACTCTACCCAGTACATGTTTATTAATTAGCATACTAATTTGCCTAGTTCTTTAGGAACTATGTGCCAGAAAAAATGTTGTTCTAAGTTGTCAAATGCAACTCATCGATTAGTGTAAGATACTTAAGAAAGGCTAATTGATAAATATATCAGAGCCCTTATTAACAGGTGAAAAATCCAGCATGCTGCATTCTGCCATCCCTTTATAATAAGATTCTTGAACTAACTTACAACTTGACTTTTCCTTCTTTTAATTAAGAAAACCACAAGTATTTGTGGAGGGTGTCGGTTCAATTTTCTCGTTATGCTTGAAGTGAAATCTACTTCATTTACCTTATTAGCTGAAAAGTAAGAAAATGAGCCTACTCTGTAAACTAGAATTTATCATTGGGGCTGAGAGACCTGATGTGGAACCTTAAAAGTAACTTCATCAGTCTTCTTTTCATTATGTGTATTTTTAAGGTTCCTTTCTGATTACATAAATTAGAAGTGACTTCTACAAATCTACAAGAGATGTGCTGCATACCTTTCTCAGTACAGCACATGGCAGCCTTTGAAACAGCCCAGTGCCAAATTAAGTAGAATGCACAGGGCAAAATATACAGAGTAAAAACGACTGAACATCCACAGTTATATTTCCAAGAAGTAACACACTCCCTGCTCAGTTCATGGCCACGAACCCCAGGTACTCTCACAAAAATTCTGCTGGTGTGCGAATATTTTCCCCCTTAATCACTGACAGTGGTTTTTCTATTACCAAGTAAAACAGAACATAAAACCTACAATTGTATATGTGTGAATTTCCTGATCTCTAGCCCTTAGAAAGCAAGATAAAGTCCACAGTCCTCCTGGCTACTGTGGCCTCCAGAGTGTTTGCAGGCTGCTCTAAGGAGAACCACTTTTTTAAAAAAACTAAGGAAACGAAGCCAAGGAATATCACGTTATACAAGAGGTCAGATATTGTTCTCAAAACCAGTGTGTGCAGCAGTGCAGAGATGCCACTTGGTGCCACCAGATCAAACAGACTCAGGAATAAGTGATGGCTCTCCAAAGGCTGTCAGTTGTAATAACAGCACGTTGTGACTCTGCCAAAAGCCTTTCCAGCTGCTGACTCATGTTGCCAAAAGAACTGGCACCACTAAGCTGAATGTGATATATAAGATACCTGCCTCCCACCCCTGCCAAAGCTAAAAACAGCCATGGGACTCTGAAAAGCTGGATGCCTCCATGTGAAGCTGAGGAAGACACGGCTGTGTTTGGTCCAAGCCATGAGTAGCGATGAGCGATGGGTTTAACCTGCTTTTCTTCTGTGCTCTTGCTCACATGTTTTCTTTACATGAACCATCACATGCTGAGGTTGTTGGTGTGGCCTGTTAGTCTTGTATCCTTAATGATTTTTCTAGATGCTCAGAAAAGGGCATCCACATGTAATGGTGGATTTCAAGAGGAGCAATACCCTTGACACAACCTCAGTCTTTTTCCTTTGGTCCTTTCTCAGACATATCCAGTCAGGACATAAACTTGTGGGTATCAAACCAAGTGGGTTTTTTTCAGGATGAATAAGGAAATAATCACTTGGGAGAGGGTACAGACTTTGTCTACTCTTTCTGGCAGCCTTCTTCCCTTACTGCTGGAGTGGCACAGTCCTGGCTGCTCACATCCACGATTTGTAGCTTAAATAATATAAAAAAGTGATTGCACAGGGGTCCTACTCAAATCAAACCATGAGCTCCTCAGAGGCTCAGTCTTCCCCTAATGGAGCTTCTCCTCCTCCCCTGACAAAGCCTGAAGGCATCATTCCTGCTTTGGTCCAGCCCAAGGGAGCAGTGCCAGCACCCAGCACTGCTCCAGCAGCCTCCTCATTTCTCAAAGTATTTCCACAAATTTTCCGTGTCTGTTCTGAAATTACAACTTTTGCCAAAAAATCTATTTATTATTGTTTGTCTGTGGAGCAGTGTTTGGGCTATCAACAGCTAATACTGGTGCTCTGGCAGAAAAGAGGGATAATTACAATTCCTCTTCAAATAAATGATATTTCCTTCCTGCTAAAGATGCAGGATGCTTTACACCTTTAAACGACCTCAAGTAATCATTTTCTAGGGCAGAACAGAAAATCCATTTCTATTAGTTTCCAAAGACCTTGAAAGTATGTATGTAAGAAGACCACTTCCATAAATTCACCTTTTTAGAGTCACTGGGTAACACAGAATTTATGCAAGTGCAGGTCAGTCACATAATTCAGTATTTATATGCTGCCTTTCAAGCTCCAGGGAACTGGAGTAAAATGCTAAAAATAAAATACATATGTTGTAATACACACAAGATTTAGAGATGGAACTATTCTGACAGTTCAAAATAAAAGGCTTTGTGGATAAGATCTCTATGGCTAGATCTGCACCTAAATCATGTATTGATTTAACTCACTGTAGACAAGTTATATAAGTTTTGGAATGATATATGGTTGATCAATGTGTTTTAGAAATTAATCTCTGTCAGACTTCATCATTTAGGCAAGTAAAGAAGTCAGATAAATATCACTACATTTTACTTTATAGGACAGTAAGCCAATTTCTAATCAAATTTGTAAGTAAACAACATTATTTGTTTCCAAGAAATATCAATATTAAAATACTTTTCAAAGAAAACTTGAAAACAGACTTTAAAAAATGAATAATTGTTATCTATTAAACACACACAGACTATCGATACATGAGTACACAAACATGATGATCAGAGACACAGAGGAGAACGAAATACCCCTTTGTAACCTCCAGGGAAGGAGAGACCCAGCACCACACACAAAAAAAATAAAAAATGGATTTGGAGTCTCAGCCAGATGAAAGTTTCATGGGTTTGATATTTTAATTCCTCACTGGAGTGCAGGAGCAATGCCCCACTTACTGCAAACCCACCAACCCTAATAAGGTAGGGGAGAAACAAATGCTTATACCTAGACAAGCAGGCCTCTCAGGGTTTTAAAACAGAGAACATATTCTCAGGGTAGAGATAGGGAAATAGAGGCATGGAAAGGCAAAATAACCTTCTGCAAGGCACAAGGCAAGCTGAGGTACAAAGGCCAAGAGTAAAGGTTTTTATTCAAATGCCAAATCTGCTAGCGCAAACCTCCTTTCTTAACTGTATTATTGCTCAAGTCCCATTGATCATAGTGGGAGCCCAAGGACTGTTTCTGACCCAGCTTAGTGCTGGGTCAGTCATGAACAAGTTCCTCAGCTTTTCTTGTGTCCCAGCATGATTTTGGGGCAGTCCAACCAAAAGGTAAAAAGCTGACTCCCTGTGGCAGATTCTCTGGGTGGCCTCAGCAATAAAAAACCCCACAGTGCAACACCAATTCATGGTCACTCCTGGCAGCACGAAAACAAGCTCTGCTCCCAGCAGAGAATGAACCTCATTCTCCTCAGCACAGACCCATGACCAAGTACACACTGATACACCCTAAGCCACAAGCACAGGAAAAAAATCACAAAAAGGTAAAACACAAAAGGGCACAACAGGTTGCTGCAGCCTCAGGGGACTCCCTGGAAATCCAAACAGTCAAACAAGGAGGGAAGCCACTTACCGTACAGGACTGCAATGAGCGACACGGGCATGACCAGGATACCCACCAGCATGTCTGCCACTGCCAAGGACATCAGGAAGAAGTTTGTGGCATTCTGCAACTTCTTCTCCAAGGACACAGCCATAATTACCAATATGTTCCCCCCAATGGTCAGCAGGATGACAACCAAGATCAGGAGGGCTGGCCAATTCTTCTCCCTCACGGACATCCGAGAGACTTCGCCCTTCTCAGAGGCGTTGAGAGGATCAGATGTGGGCAAACTCTGATTCAGAGTCAAATTGCTGCTTAAGGACCAAGCCATCAGACCACCATGCAAACTAAAATCCAGTGTGACAGACACTGTCGTTAAGCTGAGCAATATTCCAGTGCTACTTAAAGTGCTCATTGTCTGGGACTGGTTTTTGTGTCTCTTAACCGTGCTTCAGAGACGAGCCCTTTTCCAAGTTGCAGGTCCAAGGCAGATGCCGAACATCACAAAACCTGAGCCAGAAAATCATTTGATCTCCCATAGTGAAATAAACCTTACATAAATTAGCGTGGAGCTCTTCTAGTTTCCTTGGGTGTGGTAGATGACAACCATTGACCAGCAACCTCGAGGGAAAGCAGGCTTTGCAATCTCCAGCTTGTTTCCAAGTTCACCATTCTGAAAAGTCAATAAAAAGGATATTCTTCACTGAAATCACAGCATACACAACACCTTCTTTATCCCCCATGCAACTGACATTCTTATTCTTCCCCTTCCTGCTGACTAGGATGTTCTCCAGACTGCAAGTAATTTATCTGAAGGGTACAGACTACGTCTACAACTGGGGGGGGGCAGAGAGGGAGAGAATCACATCAGTGTGCTCTGGCTGGTTAAAAGCTGATTATCACTAATTAAGTGTTTTGTGAAACCTGCAAAAGCGAGTCTGAAGAGCAAAATATGTTTCAATTGATAGCCACTTCACAGATACTCTGCCGCTGTGTAAAATAGTGATTGCATGAAATTCCAACCAATCCAGATAGCGTGGCCAAGCACAGAGTATTCCATTTCCTAAAATGGGAGGGTTTGTATATATTTTGCATATTCTGAGGTAAAATGAAAGTGTTGTAAAAACCCTCAAATGTTAATGATTAACTCTCCTACAATAATAAATACTATGGTTTGGTTTCTATCAGGGTGTGAATGGTGGACAGGAAGCAACATGTATTAGGCAACATTATGTGGTGCTTTGCTGTAAATCTCCTGAAACAAACAGACAACAAAGAGTTAAGAGAAAAGAAAGGACAGACTTTCATAAAAGCTGAGCAGTAATTTCAGTAAACCTAGTCCCACCAGCCTGCTGCCCAGCACGTGCAGTGCCAACACCCTCAGCACACACAGCCTGGAGGACAGACTTCCTCAGGGGATCTCACATGATTTGTGACAGTGAGGGCAGGTCTGATTACAACCCCTGACTGCTCACAGAACATAGGCCAGAGAACATCCTGCCTCTGAAGCCCCTTAGCCTCCTGCACAGAGCTAGTTGGGCAAGTTAAATGTACCCTTGACTTCAGGCACGTGCCTAAACCCACTGAAGCTAAGGGGATGTTTTCCTAATCCTGGCTAAATCACATCCTCAGAAACTCAAGCTTTTTGACTGCCAATCCTGTACAACTGATGAAAAACAGCAGCTTTGCTTTGCATTTCCACTGCATTGGAGTCAAGACCCTAAAAACCATGTGCAGCACAGGGTTAAAATCACAGAAGGGAAGCACAGTGTAGTAGAACAATGTATGGAAGCCAACTAGTAAGTAGAATAAAACCAATAGCATGCAACTTATTTTAAGCATGTCCTCAACTTTATGTTTAATCCACAGGAAAAGAGTTTCTATCACTGTTAAATGAATTACTAAATAAAAGCCTGATTTTAGCTGTTGAATGCAATGTGGCACACATGTGACACAGCAATTTGCTATCCAGGATCAAAAGCTGAAAGTAATTCACGGGATTACATTAGGTTTTATGTAATGTAAGAAGTGCTCAGAGTCCTATAATAAAATGTTTAACATTCATGAAGGTTTTGGAAACTTGCTAATGGGCTTTGTGCACAAAAACATTTCTTAAATGAGCAGTGCATACAATGAACCCAGATTTGCTTCTGCATTATGGTTAATTAGTCCCAGAGGGTCTTTAAACCTCATATTTAGGAAGAAGTTTTGCACTATGGGCACAAAAAGTAATTTTACAGCTGCACATTGCAGATGAATTAGCAAGTGGTCAGTGGACCATTTATTTTTTCCAACTTAGCTGGTCTCAGTGAAAAAAAAAAAAAGTCTCTAGAAAGTTTCTAAATACTTTAGAGTATTTTTTCCCAGAAGACAGCTTTTACTTTAAAGCCGTGATGACAATTTTTCCAAATCACCTTTCCACAGTGAAGGAGACACCAGGCAGCTTTCTGGCACTTGAGCTTTGCTGTGCAGGACACCTCCATTAGAGCCAGAGGGAATTTCTGGGTCTCCAGAAACTCTCTTTGGCTCTGTGACTCTCGAGCACTCTTTGTCAGGACAAGCAGAAATGTCATGCCCAAACATGAGGGCACAGTCAGACAGCAGGATGCCCAGTCTTGGTCTTACTTCATTCCCAGGTCTGAGCTCCTGGAGGTTTTAGAGAAGGTGATGCTACCTCAGCTCTTACCAGAGATGTGGATGAGCTTGATGCTCCTGGCACGGGCCAGCTGGGGCTGCCAAAGGAACAAAGGCAGGGCATGCCTTAACTCTAAATCATAAAAACAAACAAATAAACACACACACACACACAAAACCACACCACAAAACAAACAAACAACAACAACAACAAAAAAAACACCAAAAAAAAAAAAAAAACAACTGCAAGATACGGTTTCTGAATTAAAAGTGCCTATTTTTAAAAGTGTCTATTTTTACAACTGCTCAGGACTGAATTCTGAAATGGTCATTCTCTCTTGCATTTTGCATATTCATTTTGAAAAATCCTATGTGGGAATTTGACTACAGCAATGCTCAAGACTGGGCTCCACCCTCAGAATTAACTGTCCTACTGCTTTGCTAATACTTTTGTTATTATTTTACACAGATCCTGGCTTGAAGTCATCAGTTTTCTTTTTCACTGCATCTCCCAGTCTCCACAAGGGAAAACTTTATGACTTATTCCTTCAGCTACAGTCTTCTAAGCACATCACTGTACCAGAAAAATAATTCACATTTTATTCATGAATTCTGCATTTATTTGAGAACTATCTCCATAATTTTAAATTAAAACATGTGCCCATCACAGATTTTTTTCCAATAGCTAACTTCAAAGCACACATACTGAATTTTGTGGTCAGTCATCAATTCCAGTTCAATCTACTACTGACAGTCCTTAAAATTATAATTTAAACATTCAGCAAAACCAAGTTCTTTTCTATTCCACTCTTGCTTTTTGATAGAGCAGCGTAATGAATTCTTTCAGCACATTCTTCTCCTTCAGTCTTTAAGTCCAGTTTAAAATAAACTGAAGGCAGAAAAACATTTTTGTTTATCAATAAACACATGAATTATTTAAATCAGAGTTTGGTATGCTGAAGTTTTCAGGTATTCCAGGGGGTTAAGGCAAAGGGAAACAAAAGCTGCAGTGGTTCATCAGTCTGTACTGGTGGGACCCTGAGGGAAGGGGTCACATGCCTTTGTGAGTGTTTACCACCATTACACTTGCTAAACAGAAAAAACCCAAACCTTTCTTGGAATAAACACAGTTATTTTTTCCTCTGAATTAAATGCATTCATCTTTAGTTGTTTTACCCTTCAAAACTCAGGACATTTTTTCCTGGAGAAAATCCGCTGCCTGCTGAGAACTCAAGAGGTTCCCCAGCCCCCAGCCAGGATCCTGCCTCTCCTGGACAGGCTGCAGAGCTCCTGGAAACCATTTAATAAATCTCTGGGACTCACACCCTGTATGTTAACAATGTGCATTTGAAACTGGGTAAGAAAGCAAGGATTTTCAGGTTAGACCAAAAAAAAGATCCCGAGCCTCAGACGGACTGAGAATGATACATTAATTCATGGTAAGTCTTGCTGTAAAAAAAAAAAACAACCCCCAAAGTACTTAATGATCAAAAGCGATGACTTTCAGCAATTCCTTCCCCACAAGAAAAACAAGCAACATCCAATGGCATCAAAGCTACAAAGGCCATATCCAAGAGCTGTTTTTTTCCCCTCCCAAACTATTGGCAATATCCAGTTCTCCAAGTTGCACTCACACCTCATCAATAAGCAGACGAAAGCCAACAAGTTGCTAGAGATCAAACAGTTTTAAAGGAAAAGTTTTTCCTTCAGCCTTAGCTTTGATGGTAGACCTCCATCAGGGAAAAAATAAATCTGAAGGTGACTAAACTGAACTGCAAGTACTGCAATTTTTGCCAGGAAAACAGTTGCAGATAGTTCGCAACTATCCGAGCCAGGCAGTCAGCTGACATAAATTTTTATAGCTCCATGAAGGTCTTTTCAAAATGGCAAATAATTTTAAATTATATAATAGGATACAGGGTTTAGGCTTGAGAAGGCAGATTTAAGGCTTCATTCTTCACTCAAAACTCTACTTTTCTTGCTATTTGCATCTTTACTAATTTATTTGTGGGATCCATTGCCAAATTCATTTCCATTTTTCTTTGGAACAGAAGGTTGCTTTAAAATACATCTTTTCATGGCAAACTTGCAAGGAGCCTTCTCATTTTAGTGATTGAATAAAATCATATTTTTCTATTTACAGAATTCTGTATTTTAGGCAGGGTTTTTTTAGCAGCACTAAGAAACATCCCTATTTCTGTGCAGTTCTATTTTTAAACAGTGTGTGAGAATGGAGCAAGTCCAAAGGAGATGACCAAGGTGATTTGGACTAAAGCACTGGGTTTGGTTCAGCCCAGAGAAAAACAGTTGAACAGGGATGTGTTTGCTGCATACAGCTCCCTGCCAGTGCTTACAGAGGAGACAGGGAGACTCTTCCAGAAGCTGCACAGCAAAACAAGAAGCAATTGTCATAGTGATAGATCTAAGGAAATCATGTATAAAACAAGAAGAAAACAGATAAAAGGAGTCACAGTGGGAAGGGTCAGACAAGGGAAGTGGGTCACGGAGAGACTGCAGGATCTCCATCCTTGGGGATGCTCAAAACACAGCTGGGGATTGCTCCCAGACACCCCATCTAACTTTGAAGTTAGTTCTGCCTCGAGCATGGGGTTGGACTAGAGACCTTCAAGAGGTCCCTTCCAGCTTAAATCATTCTACAACTGGATCAGAAATGTGCTAATGAGCAAAGCTGTCCAGCCTGGGGGTGCTTTCGAGCTCCTATCCCTGGATACACCCCCTGTGTTTGCCCCTATTGCTCATGTGCAGGATAAGACCAGCACATCCTCTCCCCTTTGGTTTCCCCGAGGCCAGAAATAAATCTGCATGCCCAGATGGGAAAACACACCTGTGAGGACCCCAGCCTGCCTGATGTGGGAGCAGGGCCTTACAGCTGCACCAACACACACTCCTGTCACACCAGAGAGATGCACACACCAGTGACAAGTCCTCACCTTTGACCACCTCCTGAGGCCACCTAGAGTTCAAGAATATTCTGAGAAGTGGCAATTTTGGAAAGCCCCAATTCATTTTAGT